GAGAGAGAGAGAGAGAGAGAGAGAGTGTGTTTTGCTCAATTGTTTTCGTACCATGTGTTTGTTTTGGCGATTTTGTCTTTCTGTGACGACTTTCTGTTCTTGTTATTATTCTTGTTATTTTGGATCTATTTGGAACCGTCGTTGTTGTCCTGCAAGTCTAGCTACTGTCATGGGAAAAGTTAGCCTACCTTCATTGAAAACATTTGTTTTTTATTAGCACAAGACTTTTTTGATCATTTACACGTCTATGAATGTCAGTTAAGATGAAGGTCAAAGTGAGTGACATTGTAACAGATCAATGCTGAAGGTGTCATTAATGAACTGTGTTTTCTCAGAAAATATTAACTAGCTGAACTGAACAATGTGACTGAACTGGGAATGTCATTTATTTAAGATAAAACAACATACTCAAATGAGGAAAAATTCTATATATAGTAAATATATAAAAACAGGCTACAATTCTGAGATTTGTTGCAGCGCTATTGGAAACAAAAGTTCTTAATAATTCATTGCTCAAAGTCCCGTTAAAAATTACTGTAAAAATTACTGTACTAATGGAAAATACGTTTAATAAAATTTACAGTACGCTCCACATTCTGCCTGACGGGCATTCCTCCATTACTGTCACATGCTGCTACCTAGTGGAGGTGGTGCAGTATTACAGGCCAGTTAAACGTAAAGTCCATAAATGACAATAACAAACAAGAGTCTTCTGAGGTTCAGATAGTGACCTTGTTGCTCAGACTGTTATCAGCAGTCTTCAGGCACAGGGCCATACATCAGCCTTGACACACACACACACCTCTAAAAATAAACAACGTGTGTCGACCTCACACGTGTTTTCTTTTTTTTTTTTGTCTGATAACAAAAAAACACGTCCATGATTTACGTTGGTGTGTGAGACGTTTTCTTAGAACCTCTGTTTCTACAGAAGACACGGGGCAGTGGTTGTGTTAAAAAGCCTTTCTTTATTTATGTACAATATAAGACACTTGTAACACTGGAACTATCCAGAATGACAGTTTATGTATTTACAAATATTTACAAACATTGGAAAAAATACAATTTATGGTTAAAACAGGTATCGACAATTCTGCTTAAAAACACATTTAATTTCACACAAACTTTTATAAAAAGTTGTTAAACAAGTAAATGTTGAACAGTTTAAAATACCTTTGAGTCGATCCCTTAAACTCTACAAAATATACTGGTGATGCGTTTGTGCTGCAGGTGTGTAAAACGTATTGGTATATACTCTGCATTGTATTGCTTTAATTTGTGCTTTGCTTGCAAGCAAACATTTTATAGGCGTTTGTACTGGTGACATAAAAACACCAGTTCTAAGAGTCAGCTGAATGATATGAATAATATGAATGTAATATGAATGTACCGACCTACAGAAAACATGTTAAACGTCACTTTTGTGGTGTAAACATTTTGTAATTGGTATTTTTACTGACCCACTTACGTTTGGCCCATACCTGTTCTCGAAAATGGGCCACATGTGAATTAATATTATTTATTCTGATATTAACAAGAAATGTCATATTACAGGTTTGACCCTAGCGACCTAGTTTTATTTGTCAACTAGCTAGCTCCTTCTCTTGCCAAAATGCTACCTACTTAGCAATCTTGTTGACAAAATGGCTTCCGTTTAATACCTACTTCCAACTGTGGAAGTTGGTAAAATGTATTAGAATTCATATCAAGTTTTTATCTCAGATTGAACCAATTATACTGTATTGCATCAGTCTTAAAGTGAGCTGCTGCCAGCAGTGAAATACGTTTCTTCAGTTGTTCTATACGTTTCTGAAGAACTGTAGAGACATTTCATAGGTCAGAAACATGGTGGCGCTCATTGGGAATCCTCGAATGGCATTAACAGACACTCCACGGAAGAAAACCTGCACAGACACAAATACCGTATTTAGTGACAAACGTTACAACCTGCACTTTTTTACCTTCCAGACCTTTTAAAGCAACATGTTTGACTTTCATAACGTGGAGGTCCAGTGGCTATTCTACATTCTGTGAGCACACTGCAGTTCACACATCTGGACATCACACTGTCAGCAGCTCTGTTTTCAGGCCAAGCCATGAAGTTTTCCCATGAGATGGTTATCAATAAATCTTAATAATAGCGTCATTTTTCTACATGAGAGCTGTCTGAATGCTGAGGTTTGATTTCTTGGGAAACAAGTGGTGCAAGACTCCTTGAAGGAGTTTGATTCCTGACAAATGTTTCATCAGGGGTGTATTAAGTTTTCTGTTTCACTTTTGTAAAGTGACACCATCTGCTGCATCAACTGATACAGTCGGTCAGCCGAGTCTAGTACTTTGCATGATGAAAAAATACTTTTGAACTGTTGACAGTTTTAGTATTTTATAGTACTAAGTGATAATGTTTTCCACATCAGTTATTCCACAATAAGTTAGATATATTTTTTAATAGTAGTCGGAAACGACACTCACGTGAATCCCTTCTGTCTTGTAGCTCTGGATAATGCAGTCTAATATTCCCTTGTACTTCCTCTGTAGCTGAGCGTCGGCCTGAATCCGACTCTTCACCACGTCAGCAGGGGTAGCAGTGACCCAGGAAATGGAGCCTGAGCGGGAGAGAAGGGAGAGAACAGTTAAAATACATGATTGAAACATTTGAAAGATTAAATATATTATACAAAATTAAATCATACTTTAGTCTATTTCATTGTAATAAAATATTAAATATATATTTATTATACCTAGGTATTATATTTATCGTATGTATACATATGTGTGTGTGTACATACATATATGTGTGTGTGTGTTGAACATGACACACTACAGAAACAGACTTCGGTGAAGCCCAAACTAACTGGCGGGTACTAATGTATCACTCAGGTGATGCTATCAATGCTACCAGTTATTCATTGATGCAGATATATAGCTGTGGAAAAGTACTGGCAGTTAGCACCACACTGGCTGCTGTTACAGGGGGTGTGGCTTAGCTAGATATCCAATGACTCCAGTGACCAAATACCAATGTTTTCTGTTTTTTTTTTACTTCAGGAAAGAGAGGAAAACACTGTAATAAAACGCAACATAATTGCTCCCTACAGTTTACTAAGAACGTAATTATCCAGTTAATGGTTTACATGGTATATGGATGGATTACTGAGAGGCCTCCTCTGTTTACTCACACACACACACACACACACCAGCCATGTGTTTGGCCATAAATTCACCCTGAAAAAGGAGCACACACTATTTAAGCCACAAGGATACACCTTCACCTACAGGAAATACTCCTCAAGGTTAGATGAGTTCAATATATTGCAATGTTTTTACAGGTCAACAAAAAGAAGTACTTGCAGTACACTGAAATTGCAAAGCCACACACATTTACAATTTACAGGTTGTACCTAAGAAAAATAAAATCGAATGTAACATTTTCACCATCATTTTGCAGATGACACACTGTTTTATAACAGCTTCAATCAAGACAATGTAAACTGATAAAACTCTATTAAAAAAAACTATAGTTGTTTGTGTTATGTCCTTTATGTCCTTGACTGTAAAATCTTTTTTTTTTATTAGTGGCACAATATTCTTTGAACAAGTTACACATGGCAAGATGTGACTGCAAAGAACTGTTGCTTATTGTGATGTCATCATTCTTTGTCTTTTTTTTTAACTAAACTGTTAACCAACTGTAATTACATTGTTGATATCATGATTTAAAGGGACTTGTTTTATATTATATTGATATAAGTTAAGCTGGTCAACAGTTACCTGCCAGTCCTCCAGCGAGCCATATGGCACAAGGATGAGGGTTGGATGAAGCATCTGGAGTCAGCAGGTTACAAAACATGGAGTATGGAATGAAATAGAGGGTGTATCCTGGAATGTCTCTCAGGATCATGGCCCCGGCTCCCCTGTACAGACCCGGGAGGCCCTCAGTCTGAAGAATGCTGCTGATGCAGTGGATTGGTCCGCGGTAGAGTGTCTGGCCTGAGAAGTCGACGGATCGCAGAGGGATGTTGGAGCCACTGGATATGTTGCCAGCAAACTGCACGTTCTCTGAAGGGAACCAGTGAAAGATGTTTGTGATTATTCGTGATTTTGGTGGCACTTGGGTTCAGATCTATTTCCATGTGTAAAGGGCTACACACTAACTACAAACAAATGACAAATATTTTATGGCCTCGTCCTACTGATGTCTTGGTCAGGGTTTTAACCTCAGTTTTATTACTTTATAATGTGTCTTCACTGTACATAAAACTCCAGTCATAAAAAGGTGAGACATTTAAGAACTGATTAGCTACATAACAAATTTGTGTCCTGAAAGAAATCATTCACAGACAGATCTTCAGTGCTTTACATCCTACATCACAAGCTAACAGGCCACTGTGACTTTCAGTTTTGAGCTCGACCAGGTGCAAGTTTAAAAAGTTTGAGTGTATCTAAGTGGATGGTTTTGTCTTTAGAATACTGGAGATTGGTGTCTAAAATAAAACGCCACAAATGGACTTCCTGCAATACCTGCGAGAACAGCCTGCGTCTGCATCTGCAGTCTGATCTTAACCAGGTCTACCGGCGCCCCAATGCTCACTGACATCAGTCCCGTCAACATACTGGCCACAGTCAGGTCCAACATGCCACAGGGATGCCGTACGTCACCATAGCGATACTTGCTTATGAGTCTCTGTGTATTACTGAAGAAGCCAAACACGGCTGAGTTGTAAAGAGTAATGCTGGCCAATGGAAATGACATGCCCTTAAAAAACCCTGAGACCTGAGAAAAAAAACACAGGAATATAATTACAGACTTAACACAAAGTGGGATTAAAAAACTATCAGTTTAAGACTTTGTTTTTCTTATACTGGGCCAAGTAGTTTTCCCTGTGTAAAGTGTTTGCTTTGAATAGCAGAAGCATGAAAGGGAGAGAATATGGGAGTCACGATAAATACAGCTGTTGACAAGAAATGTGACCACAGTGACTATATCACGTTTTATACTTTATATTCACCTACTGCATGCATGTCAGAGTTTAGTATTGATTGAAGTGATATCATCTGAGTTGAAAACTCAAGTTTCAGTACTGTTGTTTGAATTTTACTTTAACCGCCACCAGGAGGAAATCTTCAGTGTTTAAAAAAGAAAGTCAAAAACCAAGAACAGAAAACTGAAAAACAAATCTGCATTTAATCAGAGTGGAACCAACAATCTGCTTGTGAGTTTCTTTTCTCCCAGTTCCTCAGAATTGTCCACATCCAGAATTTTCCAAATTCCATATCCAATTTTCTGTGCCAAATGCTTTAAACCAGAAATATTGGACTGTTATGTTGATTCTTGCATAAGAAAAAAAGTTACTTTTACATCCACTCCAGAAAATATAATTTTCATCTTTACAACATGATTTTTCTTTTTTTTTTTGCACTTTTGTATTTACCGTTTCCTTCCTGTAGATGGTAAGGATGCAGTGAAACATGTTCTTGTAGCCTTGTCCTGCCTGGAGACGAGTCTGCATAGACAAAACCAATCTTAAATATTTGAACTGTTAGCATTCCAGACCAGGTAAAACTAAATGTGTTAAGACCGATTAGGTAAACCTGTAAAAAAAATTCAAATGCACACCTGATGATCTCACCAAAGCTCAATTTGGGGATCACAGCAGAAGTGAACCAACAGCAACTGTTTTAATCCATGTTAAACATATTCACTTTATTCATTCATTCAACAAAGTAGGAAATTGGCAAATAGCTCTCCTCACCAAGTATCCCAAAACCTAAACCAGCAGACACATTTGTTTTTATTTAAAAAGTACTTTCTACTTATTTTTTTTCTTCTAACAAAAAAGCAGCAACAAACAACAACAATAAATAATGAAATCACACATTTGGGCCTTCATACCTTGACTGTGTCCAGGGGGTGGCCCACAAACACACTGGAGGCACCTGTAGCAAAGGAGAAAGAAAAAAAAAAACAGATACAAATGAGAAGAGGAATGATCTGAGGCAGTAAAAAACAGACAACATGGCTGGGCGTGACTGTGAAGGTTTAACAACATCAACATAACCTTTTCTGCCCACAGCATTGTCAAATTTTTTGTTGGCAAAATCTGGCAACCTTTAATGGTGACAATGAAGCACACAAACTCAACTTGTCTTCTCTGAGATTACCTCTGCTTTAACCAGGCCAAAGCCATTATTCCCTCAGTGTCATCATTAGCTTCCCTATATTTTCACCCTTTGGACAGAGTGTGTTGGCCTAAAAACATCTGTATAATACTGTATATCCATTCACATAGTTAACAAACAGTGAAAGGCCCCTGGTTATTGATAGCATGTCACCACCACGCCATGAACATGACACTTGTGATGATGATGTTGTCTTAGCATTGGCATCTGACGTGTGATCAAAGTTCTGGGCGTCACACTCAGCTGTGTTGGCAATGTCTAAGTCTTTATTTAGCTGTTGGATCATGTTAATATGTATTCATTTTTTATGTTATCAGGTTTAAGCTGTAGTGCGTCAACATGTCTAAGAGTACAAATATTCCTTTCACATGTTAATATTTGCACAAGGGATGACTTGACTTTGTATCACCAACATCCCAGGTCGATTGTCACTACAGTGAACACACTGGTCTATTAAAAAATGTGGTTTCAACTTTCTGCCTCACAAAATATTACTATATAAAACCACTATCAGTCTAAGACTCCTTTAAATTATCGGTTTTTGGTTACATTGTTATATTTAAACATGAAATGACTTAAATGCTCTTAAATATTCTATATACTATTGTTTTCTCATGTTTTAATTTATTTACTTTTATGCACATTAACATGTTAAAAATAAGGTTTGATAGCATATGTGGTTTTTTGGACTGAGCTTTTCTTTGCTTTTCATTACTTCCAAAATTGTTAGATGTATTTATTTTTTCCTCAATATAGCTAACATTTACAGATATTTTGGGTTAAAATAATGTGATGTTGTTGTTTTACCTCTATTATAATCCATTTGAACATGCACTTGTATATATATTATTTCTCTTTTTTGTTTGTTGTTTATCAAACATTTTTCTTTTCTGTTAATATATTTGATCTTTTTTTTTTAATAAAGTCACTAAGGTTTAGTGCTTGGGGAGCTCGTCGAACTGGAACAGCATGTAGCCTATTATTCATTCTTTCTTGTGTAACGTGATTTGTATTTCACTATATTATAACATAGCTATGTACTGGCTTTTGTGAGCTGTGAAAGCCCTGGTTTAGAAACTTAAAAAAAAAGATGTTTATTTCCCCCCCTTAGGAGTTATTTACTGGGGTAGGGGAGGGTGACAGGAAGGGTGAATGTGGGAGTTAGAGGGTAGGGGGGCCTCATTTCTGTGAAGACCCTCATTGTTTGTTTGTTTATCTGTTGATAATTTTACTTGTGCGCTGTTGCATAAACATTGCTGGGTGAACAACTCAAACAACAGTCACTTTTATCATTTGCTTTTGGAGAAAACAAAATACGAGTAGAAAACACCTGACATTAGTGCAGAGATACCCCGTGCCCCGTTACCCCTGCACCCCCACCGATTCTCAGCAGGCAAAACAAGAGGTAAATCGTAAGCACTCTATGGACTCACCTCCGATCCATCCTGCAATAAAATCATCCACCTGGAAACCCATTTTCAACTCAATCTGAAAATCGTTGCCGCTGCGTCTGCATCAGTCATCCACAAATAAATAAATAAATAATGGTAACGAAACAACAAGGGCAGGAATAAACAGTAAATAACGTACGGGAGACGAAGCTGCTGCAGCTCTTCTACTGAACGAACCGAAACAAACGATAGCGACGTTAGAATGAAGTGATGAAAACCTAATGAGATTGAAACGAATGAGAGCTTTGATAAAAACACAAGCTCAGAAGGCTGTAGGTTAGGCAAATCGACATCCAATCGGAGAGCGAGCTTCACTTTGTGGCTGGTCCCGTTGTCCAATCAGCGACCACCTCTGAGAAAATCTAATCGCTCTTTTATGAGACAGCGCCCACATGGAAATGAGCCACGAGGAGATAATACACACACACACACACACACACACACACACACACACAGATGTTGTGTCTTAAGCCTAACCTTCTGTTGAGTGGTTGATGACATAGATGGTCTTCTCCATATTATTCTCTGTATTTTGGATTAATTATGTCTGTCTGTCTTCTCTGGTCTTTCCACCCAACCATCTTTGTCCACTTATCCATTATCGGGTTGCGGGGGACATGTTTATGGTTCAATGTTGTATTAAGTGTGAATGGTATGTTTCAGATTTATTCAATTGAAAATGTAAATGTGGAAATATGAATTTTACCTGCGTACCACTAGAGAGCGCTCAGTTGGACCCGTACCTCAGTTTGAGAACCACTACAATACCAACAAGTAATCATACACTTCTCATGCCTTGTTTCACAATATAAATAGTTGTAGAAGAACAAACAAACACAAAGATGTTTAATTAGACAAAGCTGAATATTTTGAAGATGTGACAGCTCAGTGAAGTGAAGTGCAAAAAGACTGATTTAATTCAGGGTGTGGTTTAGGTTGCGTCAAACATTTTGAAAACTTGCTCCTATTTGTATGTCTCTGCCAGTGTCAGATGACAAGTTGGGGATCAGTTCCTTCCACATGGGCCAGTACAAATTTAACTTTGATTGACATACACTTCTGATCTCTGTGCACGGTTCAAATACACCTAACCCCCGTCCATACTCAGCTGGGGAGAGATTAAATTGATAGTCTTCTCCTTTACCATCAGAGCCACTTTGATATTTCAGTTCTGAGGGCTGCGTTGAGCCACTGCAAACAAGAATAAATGCTACTGTAACCTCATTTTCATGTCCATACATGGAGTTGTGGTTTGTTTGTGAGCTAGTTTGCTAATGATGCATTTCATATTTTTACATCCTGTTCCTTCCAGTAACACATTAACACCCAACTAGAATAGAACCAGAACCTTGTGGTTGGAGGATGACTTTTGAAAATGTACCTTTGATATTGTGTGTGTGTATGAGTGTTTGTGTGTGTGTATGGGTCTTTGTGGGTTTAATGAACCCTCAGTGTCCATAACCATGTGTCCTCAGGTTAAATAAATGTCATCTCTTTCACAACCTCTACAACACAACAGCACATGTCACGGGTGTGTGTGTGTGTCTGACATCGGTGTCACTGGTGGGGTCCTCACTCTGGCCTCTGATTGGACCGTTGGGACATGTGTGTTTGGCATTGATAGTGGACAAAAGGTTGATTTTTAGCCCGAGAGGTGATACAGGGCTACCTGAATTGAGAGACAAGCGTTGTTTTATGTTGTCTTGAAGTGAGGGGAGAACACACCTACACGTGACAACAGTGTTTATAGCTCTGTTTATGAAAAAACAAGGCATTCAGGAGAAAAATATAAGTAAAATACAAGACAGCATTCACAATTACCCCATCCTATTTTTCCATACATACATATATATATATATATATATCTTTTCATTTCTAAATAAACGGTAACTCTGTGTTATCCTTCAGATACACCTGCCATGCAAGTTTATTGTCTCTTAATTAAAAATTAGTATAATTAATAATACATTTGTCATTTTGAGATTGATAAAATAAATCATTTTTGTTTAAAAAATGTTTAAAAAAGGACAGGAAAATAGCAAAATCAAGAAATATTCACTTTGTGTCAATCCTACATTTGTTTCCACCCACAGGGGGCGTTATTACATTGGTGACTAGTATATTACACTTTCCCCATCTATATGCGTCATCGTTGTTATCAAACAACAACGTTAACATTCGTTTTCGTTGAAGACCAGGTAAAGTCCAGGTAAAGTCCAGTAATGTCCTGTTGAGAGTTCATTGATTGGCAGTGAGTCTGTTTGTAGAGTGACTGACCGCAAAAAAACCCTGTGTTTATGTTGCTAATGTGTGAGCTCAGGTTACTTCTTGTTGCTAAAGTGACCTGAGAACAAATATTTTGTCTTTTAGAGGGACGTCTCTAATTTAAATAAGTTTGATTGATTGAAGAATTGATTTCACACCGATCTTAAATGGACATTCTTTTCGACTCAGGAACTATTCACTTTGCCACAATGTCCACAAAGAACACTGCTGCCACCATGAACGTATATTGGTTTATGTCTATTTTGTATTTATATATATATAAATAAATAAAAGCTGCTATCCTTTGACAAATCATCTAAATACATGGTGAATGTAATACACAAACAATTAAGATTTTGGAAAGCTATCAACAGTGAAGAAGGAATATTACAAATTATGTTCCCTGAAATTACAGTAAAACCAAAACAACAAAATGCAGTCCTGCCAAAAGGGGGCACAATAGCCCCACATTTGATTCATCTAATTGTACCCCAGTATCAGCCTTTTCAATGTCAAAGTTTCAATTACAGAACGACCTTTGTCACCTCAGCATTCACGTCACGGAACTTGAGATTCGGACAGAATTCCTAAAGGGTTCCCAGTAAATGTACCTGACCTCATTGTGGGCCCACACATGAGGGTGCACACACACACACACACACACACACACACACACACTAACACTCAAAGGTATGTGAGTAGAATGCAAATGTGCTAGAGCAGGAGCTTTATAAGGTTGAAAACACTGGGAAATGAAACAATATGTTCTGTGTTTAACAGAACTTTCTGAGGCTCCTGAGCTTTGGTATTTACAAAATCACATTTGTTTTAAATCAATGTTTTGGGAACGTGATTTATAAAAGCACAAAAACATTTATTTTCCTTCGCTTGGTGAGTTTCTACTCAAACATGTAGCTTATGTACTCTTATGACATTTAGTAAACTGTTTACATGATGGATTCCCTACCAGACACAGGGTTGTAATCCAGAAGACGAAGAACAGAATTACACTGTGAAGCAGCTTTGTTCCACCAGCTTTAGCAGAATTAGAGCCTTGTGTTTTAGGAACATTATCATTAATTTAAATTATACCAGATTAAGTCAGAACCTGTTTCCTGCTTTATGTCTCCTTAAAATCGGACATTGTTAACAGCATTTCTACATTTCTTAATGCCATTAAATAACACTGAGCTCATATCTGCTTCTATGTCACAAATCTACCACTTGAGGCAGCAATGGACCAACTTCTGGTTCCCCATGAGGTTGGAACGCCACGTATCTCATTGCATTTCTGTGACTGATACAAGCAAGTTTTTATTCTGCTTTAAGCAAGGTGAGAATGAAATGTGTACTGCATTGTGTTAGTGTATATCTGGGAATAGAAGGACACAAAAAGTACATATAGACGAGTGGTTATAGCTGAAAACATTTAGTTTAATTTAAAAACCAAATGATCTAAATATTTGGCCAAAGTCCACGTAGCAGGAAATAGGACATTATCTATTAGAATAGAATAGATTAGCTATTAACTATCTAGAATAGATTAATTATCTACAATGAAAGATTTATCTGGAATGTTACATTCACCCTGAGTCACCGAGTATATGTTTTAAACCAGTGGATCATTTATATCCAGAGCCTTAAATCCTGTGACCTGTAACTGAAGCTGTGTGAAATGGACTGTTGACAAATTGTGCATGCCTAAGCTGCACTGCAAGGCACCAGGGGAAAGGTGAGAGGTCAAACAGTGAAGGAAGCTAAGATTTAAACCTGTAAGAACGGATGACCTCTGATTATTCAGCGCTTCACAACTACAACATAATAAAATCAATATATTTACATTATTGCTCAAACGTGTGTGTGGTACATGGGAAAAATCACTTGTGGAGGTTTTAACTTATTTTAACCCACAGTTTAGGATAATAACTGACTGTCTGTGATGTTGTGTGAACCAACACCTTTTCTATTCTACACAGATCCCATTGAGGAAACCAGCAAGGTTAACATTATGACACATACAAAGAGACTGTTTATCGTTTGCATCCCCTAGTGGCAGCACGTACACACCAGGGGTAACGACTCTCAAGTAATAAGTAATTTAGTTTTCCTGTTTTCAGACGGTGTACAGTGTACTTTTAGTCTTGTAGAGGAGTAGTTCTGAATGTAAGTACTCTCGGTGAATGCAGTGTTTTGTGTTACTAAAATACTGTTATAGGAAGCACCACAAGGCTTTGAAAAAAGAACACAGCTTTGTTGCTTATCTCGTCTGTATTTTGTGGTTAGTAAAACAAAAGAAATAACATGATTTTAACTCACAGAATAAAATTAATTACAATTAATCACAATATGAAAATTAGTGAAATGAATTACAGCAGTAACTCAAGTTGTGTTTTTTTCTAACCACACTAGAGTAAATGTGCCTTTTCACCTCTGAAGTATATCTGGGTCTGTATTATTCTTTCATTCACAGTGTTCTGCTGACAACACCCTGTGATATTGTTTCTGGCTCCCAAAAACACTTCTATGTGTTTAACCTGCCGTTTATATGAGAGCCGCGCCTCTCCTCACAGATTGTCTTTTTACGATTTTGCTCATCTCTGCTCCAAAGGCCAGAGTAGATGATCTGCCAACTGGACTCACACCGTTGGCCCAACGACCGATGGCTTTTTCTTTCACTACAATAATAAACTACAAGCAAAAACCTAACAGTATCTGAAATAAAACATAGACTTTTAAGTTTGTCTTGTTGTACGAAGTCAGCTTTCAAATATTAAATGTACTTAAAGAAGAATTGTATTAAAATAAAGGCAATCAAACGCAGTAGACGTCGCCCCCTTGTGGGACAGCCCGGTAATGCTTGGTGAAAAGTGAAAAGGTGAAAAGTGACGGGTCTAGTGGGAGTAGAGCCAGCTGATAGGTCATTGTTTATAACACGTAATCTAAAAAGGAATAAATGGGTTTTTACCTCAATCAGTAACTTAAATGATGTCAACAGG